ATACCTTATTGCTGAAACACATAACTGGTTTTCAAAAATCATTTGTCAGACAACAGCAATACAATGCATTGTATTCAGCCTTAAATAATGGTTCCACACCACTGAAAATTATGTCAGATTGCAAAACCAGGTGGTTATCAATACAACCAGCTGTTGAAAGAATTGTGAACCAATGGTTTGAAATAACAAGACAAAGTGAAAAGTGCTACACAGCTGAGATACTATATGGAATGTACAGTGATGAAAAAAATTTGGCATTCCTTCTCATTTTACAACCTATTCTAATGGAAGTGCAAAAAGTTAATAAACTGTTCGAATCCAAACATGTTGATAAAGTTAAATTACTTGACGATCTCACTTTGCTATTTTACTCAGTTGGTAAAAGACTGGTGTTGCCAACTTCAAAAGTTGATTTGCTCACTTGCACTATAGAGAGCTATTTGGCTCCTAAGCCATACCTTGGATATCAAATTGAATCAAAAATTGATGATTTAAAAACAAAAGGACTGTTAACAGAGAATGAAGAGAACAACTTAAGAAAACGCTGTCAAGATTTCCTTATCTCATTGTTCAAGCAACTAAAGCAGACTTCCTGAAAATCTAGATGTATTGAAACATATTTCACTCTTTTCTGTGAGCAACATACTTCAGCCAGTAAAGGCAAAGGACATACCTAAATATTGTAAAGTTATGAAATTTTTAGGGGCTACTGACAATAGTGTCGCGGAAACAGAATATCAGTTAACCAAAATAAACTTAGTTGAATGGACAAACATAACAGAAACTGAAGCGTTTTGGAGTGAAGTGAGACAATTTAAAGATGCCTCATTAAACAGTCCATTCTGTAAGCTCTTTAAAGTGCCATGTCTGCCATACTACCCCACTCAAATGCTGACGTAGAAAGAGTTTTCAGTGCTATGAATTACATCAAATCTAACCTAAGAAACAGGATGAAATTAGACCTCTTAAATGCTATCTTGACAATAAAGTTTGGCCTGATGAGAGTAGGAAAAGGCTGTTCCGCTTATCAGCTCCCTGATTGTGTATTAAAAGAAATAGGAACAGCTAAAGCATACCAGAGTAATTTGGGATCTGAAGCTTCAACTTCATCATCCAAGCTAAGTTTATCCTGTGGATCTTGTGAAGCAGACATCAGTGAAGATGAGGACATGTGTCTATAGGGTAAGTCATTTCAATAGTTTTGTAATTTGTGACTCTTTTCATTTGGATATTTTTTTTTAAATATTTTCCACGCAAATTTAGATCTTTTTAGATATTTTTTAACCCCGTTTTGGATCTTTTTTGACAAAGAAAAGTGGCAACACTGCTACCGGCTGTGGGAAACTAAAGTAGAACAATAGCAGGTGAGTAAGGAACAGGTTGAGGGATTGTTTCATTAAGTCTTATTTGCAGACTTCCAGGATGTATTGATTCGGTTACAGATATATTAGTGACAAGTGAGGGTGACGATTCCAATCAATAGCCGTTTATCAATATCAGTATGTTGTAACAGTAGTAATAGTAATGAGAAGTAATTATTCACATAAAAAGATTCAATTCAAACTCCAGGGCCAGTGTTACAATTAGGATATAGTGTTCATGGACGTTTTGGAGTATGAAGTTACATCATGTAGTAGTGCTGGTTTCACTTAAATCTTGAGGACCCCGAGATGTGGTGAAATATCAGAAAAGAACTCTAATTTGTCTTTCAGTATGACGTACGCATCCTTTGCCTTTTGCGCCACAGGCTCCAAACATTATTTACTATATTTCAACTAATACCTGTTCAACCTCAGGGATAATGGGACTATTTTAATGTTGGTTATATATATATTTCTTAAAATATATGCTAATTTTTTCAGTCAATATTATACACATTGTTATAATGCTATTGTATCCAGCTAAAAAATAATGAAGTCATTAGTTAGAAAGTGATGTATTTCCAGTTGCTATTTTTATTGCAGCTTTCCTTTGAGTAGTGACTGACTCATTCAATCCATTCATCTTGGTGGCGAAGTTATAGGGGTGCCTGCTGCTAAGTGATTGATTGTGAGATGTACGCAGGAACATATTGCACAACCTAAATTTAGAAGCATTGAACTAACCAGGCATGCACACACAATGCTAGCTGGGGTTTTACAAATCCTGCCAGTGGCTATTAATATTCTCAATGTGATGTTAGTCACCCAGCATTTCTGGATACGATTGATCACAGCTAGTTATAAGAGTTAACTCATTTGGTGTTGCTTGTAATTTACGGGCAGGTATGGAATTGCAGGCTACAGGCATTAGCCTGTTTAGTTTAGCATAATTAGTTAATGCTTCTCTATTTCATTGTTGTATGTGTGAATGCGTCAGCGTCTGTTGCTTATACATAGCAACTGAGTTTGTTAGTTCCATGGTGCCAGGTTTGATCCAGGCTGGGGATAATGTGTCAGTGTCTGTTGCTTATACATAGCAACTGAGTTTGTTAGTTCCATGGTGCCAGGTTTGATCCAGGCTGGGGATAATGTGGCAGTGTCTGTTGCTTATACATAGCAACTGAGTTTGTTAGTTCCATGGTGCCAGGTTTGATCCAGGCTGGGGACCGTTTTGTGTTGGTTTCAGCAGTGGTATTGAGAGAAAGCAGTGACATAATGCTGAGTGTAAATTTGCCTAGTGAAACCACAAACAGCCAAAAAACACTGGAATTAGTTTTGCAGTGTCCTGTAAAGGATATATAACTAACTTATCTGTGAATGTAGGTAATGATGATGATGAGCAGAGTGCATATGTACTGTATTTATAATATGCAATAGAGAAGGTAACAAGTGAACATTTGATCTGTCTGAATCCTATATCTCAAATAGCTTTAGTCTTTCCAGTTATTCTTAAATGATCAATAGCTATAGAAAGGACACAACATATGAACAATTTTAAGGCACTTTGTTATTAGATATTATATAAATACTCATTGTCATTTGTTATTACAACCCACAAAGCATGAACAGCACAATATTTTAAACAGTTCTACAAGCAATTGTTTACCAGAAAGACACAAAGTTTGTACACTTCACACAACAGCTGATTCATTTAGGCTCTTCAGTAGAACATTGTGTACTGCAGTGGATTCAAGGCACTGTGATAGCGGATAATTTGGCCAGAATCGGCAGTGACATGGTACAACCAAATAGTGACTCACCCCACCAAGAAAATAAGACAATAATACAATCTACTTTCCAAGAAAGGTGGCTGGATAAGCACACCAGATTTTCTCCTCAAGACTCCCTTCACGCCTCACTAGAGAAGGTCAATGTGTTATATTCATACTAAGAACAGGACACAACAGAATTTATCAACATATGTTGACACTTTTTGGTGTGGGAAACACAGAGGCGTGTCCCTGCAGCATGGCACCAGAAAATGCTGAGCGTATGATCCAACACTGTCAACTATATGCTGCCAACAGAGATGCAATCTGGCCTGTTCCAACCACAATGAAGACAAAACTGTATGGTATACAAGGAGATATGGACTGCAGCTTTCACAAAAGCTACCGGCCTACTAATAGAAGTTTTTTGAGAAAAGGATCGTAGAAGAATAAAAAGAATAAGAGGAAGTAATAATACAAACTCCATACACGTCTGAAAGAAATGATTATACAACATATAAAATAGCAAACCAAGACTGTAATGAGAAAAGTCAAACAACCTTTTACATCATAATTATAACCGTGAGGGTTAAAGATATTTTTGTCTGAAATGTACTTCTATCACCATCATTTCCAAATCTTCTTTTCTCAGTACGTCACTAAATGTGATCACAGCTGTTTGCTTTACAATAAATTGTATGATCTGTCCAATCTGAAAAATTAGGTCTTTGACATCTGTTTACTCTTTAGGAGGAAATACTCACATATACCAGTCATGGTAAACTATTCCAATCTCTGCTAATGTCTCTTATCCTTTTGGTTGTTATTTGCTATCCTGCAAAGGATGAATGAATGAAGAATTGACATCCCTACACTCAAGAATGCCCACACATGCTCCATTTCCTTCTTCAGTAGCCAACGAAGAGTCTGTATGCTAACTGCACCTGTTGCAAACTGATTGAAAGTCTGTCTATGTTCCCCCTCAGTTTTGAATATCTTCCAGATCACCTGCAACTCCCCCCCTGTTCCCCCACCCTTATACCAACTAAATTAGTGTATCTGAATTAGTCTGTCAATGTATAGATGCTCAGTCTGTTCTGCTGCTCTATCCACTTGATCCCTGAGAGCCTTTACCACATCCACTTTGCTATAAGTTAGCTCAACACCCAGATTAGAGGCAGCAGCCAATCCATCAGCCTGCTTACTACAGTAGTGACAGACTGGCGGGGTGACCTGTGAAGAAAAAACAAATAACACTTAAGATCATAAAATAACCAGCCCAAGTTACAAGTATACGACCCCCTTATGGAATATAGTCCAGTTAGTTTGTATATGCTGGTCTGCTGGGCATACATGTATTTGTTGGTTTGCATGGCATGCACATACTATTTTTGGGGTTTCGCTTTTTATTTCTTTATTTTACTGAAGTCAAACAGTTTCTTCATCATTACTGTTCAGTAAGAGAGATATTGTTGTGCATTGTGATAATGTAGCTCAGTGACACAGAGAGTGCTGTCAAGAAGACAGACAGTGATGTGTGGTGAAACAGACTGCGCTGTCCAGTGAGGCCATTTTACCAGAGAGACAAGTTGTCCAGAGAGACTGTTGACCAGATAGAGTAGGAGAGTGCTGTCTTGGTGGAGACAAAAAATGACATCAGGCAGTCTTAAATATTGAGACACACACTACAGAAATTAAGTACCCATCAATGTGTGTCTTTGGGTATTTCCAAATTGTGGTAAAGAAGAGTGCAAGGATTTTGCTAACGCTGACTCTGTTTGATCACAGTTTGATAGTAAATCTCCCTATGTTATATTTAGAAATATAATTGTTTCCTACTAGGCTGATCTAGTTAGGACACATAATCAGGATGGGACAGGCTGGCTCGAAGCAAGAGATGTTCTGGGAGGCATGTGGGTTTGGCAGAGCTCACTTAGTGCAGAAATTCATTGAGCATGGCATTGATGTCAACTGGGTGTCATCAGTTGTAAGTGTTTTTGTCATTTCATCCAGTCATATCTGCTTGCAAGTTGGCCTTGTTTGTCATATCATGCAAGTTATTTCTGCTGGCAAAGCTGTCTTAATTATTATTTGTATGAATCATTTATGTTTGTAATATTTCTTTGTTTATTGTATCATACTAGTTGTTTCTGTTTGGGAGGTTGTCTGATTTATCATATTGTCTTAGCCAGTTCTGTTTTCACATTGATCATAATGTCTTTAATTTTTAATTACAAGGTTGTTTTATTTAGAATGTTGTATATCATTACTACTTTCAGTGTCTGTTTTTTTTAGAAGTGCATCATCATGTTAGTCATTCTTCTGTTGTCATCTCACTGATACCAGGTTGTAGCCAAGTGTCGTGGTTCTGTCATCTCACTGATACCAGGTGGTAGCCCAGTGTCGTGGTTCTGTCATCTCACTGATACCAGGTTGTAGCCCAGTGTCGTGGTTCTGTCATCTCACTGATACCAGGTGGTAGCCAAGTGTTGTGGTTCTGTCATCTCACTGATACCAGGTGGTAGCCCAGTGTCGTGGTTCTGTCATCTCACTGATACCAGGTTGTAGCCCAGTGTCGTCTCACTGATACCAGGTGGTAGCCAAGTGTCGTGGTTCTGTCATCTCACTGATACCAGGTTGTAGCTCAGTGTTGTGGTTCTGTCATCTCACTGATACCAGGTTGTAGCCCAGTGTCGTGGTTCTGTCATCTCACTGATACCAGGTTGTAGCCAAGTGTCGTGGTTCTGTCATCTCACTGATACCAGGTTGTAGCCCAGTGTCGTGGTTCTGTCATCTCACTGATACCAGGTTGTAGCCCAGTGTCGTGGTTCTGTCATCTCACTGATACCAGGTTGTAGCCCAGTGTCGTGGTTCTGTCGTCTCACTGATACCAGGTTGTAGCTCAGTGTTGTGGTTCTGTCATCTCACTGATACCAGGTTGTAGCCCAGTGTCGTGCTTTTCTGTATTTGTCTGAGCTACTCGGGTGGCTTGGGTGATGGATTTGTTTATCTTTTTGCAGGTTTTTGCTACACCATTATCCACATCTTTCTTGGTCTCCCTCTCCCCTGCCTCCCCAATGTCTTTTTGAATAAAAAAAATTAAAAAAAAACAAGAAATTCAAAAACAGTGATTTTTCTTATAAAATTAATAAATTACACTGGCACAAACACTACATTGTACAATTTAGTGCCTGGCATATTTCACGGTATCTTGTCAGGTGTATTACTACAGACTTCAGTCAACATAAAATGAAGTACAAAAATGAATATTTTATGCTGAAGTGCATAAATCATATTAATTATATGTTGATTTAAGTTTGTAGTAATGCACCTGACGAGATACCATGAAATATACCAGACAGTAAATTGTGCAAGACTTTAGTCTTTTTCTAGAACTTGAGTTTTGCATGCAGATATATTTTTAGTCTGGCTTAATTGTGTGCAGTCTGTTGGTTGCTCACCTCTTAGGTAGATACACTCCAACTTGGAATAAAAAGCCTCTAATTAGTGACACATGCTAGTTAAGGATGCAGTCTGTTGGTTGCTCACCTCTTAGGTAGATACACTCCAACTTGGAATAAAAAGCCTCTAATTAGTGACACATGCTAGTTAAGGATGCAGTCTGTTGGTTGCTCACCTCTTAGGTAGATACACTCCAACTTGGAATAAAAAGCCTCTAATTAGTGACACATGCTAGTTAAGGATGCAGTCTGTTGGTTGCTCACCTCTTAGGTAGATACACTCCAACTTGGAATAAAAAGCCTCTAATTAGTTACACATGCTAGTTAAGGATGCAGTCTGTTGGTTGCTCACCTCTTAGGTAGATACACTCCAACTTGGAATAAAAACCCTCTAATTAGTCACACATGCTAGTTAAGGATGCAGTGTGACTGTTCCTGGTCTCCCCCAAAAGTGACCCACATGGGGAGGTCAGGATCCAGTCCAGCACCTTTGGCTTCTGCCATCAGCTTAGACTTTGGTGTTTCTCTAGATCGTCAGTCCACACTGGCACTGGACATGACCTAGTGCCTACTTACAGTCCACACCAGCACAGGACATGACCTAGTACCTACTTACAGTCCACACCGGCACAGGACACGACCTAGTACCTACTTACAGTCCACACCAGCACAGGACATGACCTAGTACCTACTTACAGTCCACACCGGCACAGGACATGACCTAGTACCTACTTACAGTCCACACCGGCACAGGACATGACCTAGTACCTACTTACAGTCCACACCGGCACAGGACATGACCTAGTACCTACTTACAGTCCACACCAGCACAGGACATGACCTAGTACCTACTGAAGACTGTGTCAAGCTGCAAGTCTGGGAACATTTAAACAAATGCAAACAAATCCACCTTGAAATGGATTTGAACATATGACCTTCTGACTGGCAGGCAAGCATGTTAGCCACTGCATTACCTAGGCTCCCAGTACCCATTCAATTAACGGAATAACTGATGATGATGTTTTCAGCATGCCTACAGCCCTATTCACGTGGCATCTCAAGGCAAACCGGAAGTGGTGCAGCTGCTGATAGACGCTGACTGTGATCTGACAGTTGTTGATTTGGTGAGCACACTGAATGTGTTTAAACTGTACTGACATTGCACACTGAATGTGTTTAAACTGTACTGACATTGCACACTGAATGTGTTTAAACTGTACTGACATTGCACACTGAATGTGTTTAAACTGTACTGACATTGCTTTCAGGTTTTGTCCACACATTTTGTCATTTCATGTACATATTGTATGGAAGTAAATCACACACAGTTAGGAGATTAGTGACAAAACATATGGAAGCTGCACAGTTGTCATTCTGTAGACTCTTTATGGGGACACTATAAACAGATCAAAGATCTAATGTCTGAAAAGATATGAAGACACAAAGAGAACTAGTTACTTGCATGAGAGAAGGACAGTCCACATTCTTCAGGCACATTGAGGACAAACAAAAGAGTAGGAAACAAGTTGGACAGGGGAAAGAATCAGTTAAAGTCTGAGAGAGGTGTTTGGCATCATGGCATTGAGGAACTTCTGTATCAGAAATAACTGGAAGTTCACAAGCCAAGGCTTACTGACAGACATTCTGACAAACACCACATAGCATAACTTATTAGGAGACATACAGTTTGACATGCAGAATTGCATAAGTTTATCTAACTATAAGCTAGTGTTAGTTTATATTATCTCATTTGTGATGCTTGTGTTGTGTTGTTATGATATAACATAATGTGTGATGAAGCTATGATATGACTTAGTGTGTGGTAAAGCTATGACATGACTTAGTGTGAGATAAAGCTATGATATGACTTAGTATGTGGTAAAGCTATGACATGACTTAGTGTGAGATAAAGCTATGATATGACTTAGTATGTGGTAAAGCTATGACATGACTTAGTGTGAGATAAAGCTATGATATGACTTAGTATGTGGTAAAGCTATGACATGACTTAGTGTGAGATAAAGCTATGATATGACTTAGTGTGTCATAAAGCTATTATATAAGTTAGGGTGTGATGAAGCTATGATATGACTTGGTGTGTGATGAAGCCATGATATGACTTAGTATGTGGTAAAGCTATGATATGACTTAGTATGTGGTAAAGCTATGATATGACTTAGTATGTGGTAAAGCTATGATATGACTTAGTGTGTGGTAAAGCTATAAAATGACTTGGTGTGTGATGAAGCTATGAAATGACTTGGTGTGTATGAAGCTATGAAATGACTTGGTGTGTGATGAAGATATAATATAATTTGGTGTGTGATGAAGCTGTGATATGACTTGGTGTGTGATGAATCTGTGATATGACTTGGTGTGTGGTGAAACAATGATACGACTTGGTGTGTGATGAAGATATTATATGACAGTGTGTGATGAAGCTATGATATGACTTATTGTATGATGAAGCAATATATGACAGTGTGTGATGAAGCTATGATATAACTTGGTGTGTGGTGAAACAATGATACGATTTGGTGTGTGATGAAGCCATGATATGGCTTAATATGTGGTGAGGCTATGATTTAACTTAATGTGTGGTGAGGCTATGATTTAACTTAATGTGTGGTGAGGCTATGATTTAACTTAATGTGTGATGAGGCTATGATTTAACTTAATGTGTGGTGAGGCTATGATTTAACTTAATGTGTGGTGAGGCTATGATTTAACTTAATGTGTGGTGAGGCTATGATTTAACTTAATGTGTGGTGAGGCTATGATTTAACTTAATGTGTGGTGAGGCTATGATTTAACTTAATGTGTGGTGAGGCTATGATTTAACTTAATGTGTGGTGAGGCTATGATTTAACTTAATGTGTAATGAGGCTATGATTTAACATAATGTGTGGTGAGGCTATGATTTAACTTAATGTGTGGTGAGGCTATGATTTAACTTAATGTGTGATGAGGCTATGATTTAACTTAATGTGTGGTGAGGCTATGATTTAACTTAATGTGTGGTGAGGCTATGATTTAACTTAATGTGTGATGAGGCTATGATTTAACTTAATGTGTGGTGAGGCTATGATTTAACTTAATGTGTGGTTAGGCTATGATTTAACTTAATGTGTGGTGAGGCTATGATTTAACTTAATGTGTGGTGAGGCTATGATTTAACTTAATGTGTGGTGAGGCTATGATTTAACTTAATGTGTGGTGAGGCTATGATTTAACTTATTGTGTGGTGAGGCTATGATTTAACTTAATGTGTGGTGAGGCTATGATTTGACTTATTGTGTGGTGAGGCTATGATTTGACTTATTGTGTGGTGAGGCTATGATTTGACTTAATGTGTGGTGAGGCTATGATTTAACTTAATGTGTGATGAGGCTATGATTTAACTTAATGTGTGGTGAGGCTATGATTTAACTTAATGTGTGATGAGGCTATGATTTAACTTAATGTGTGGTGAGGCTGTGCTTTTATACGGGTAACCTCTGACTTCAGAGAGGAAGCACAGCAGTTCATCATGCAGCCATGAAGGGACACGCTGACATCATCCAGATGTTGGTTGATGCTGGAGCTGATATCAATGCTCAGGACAAGGTAACCTACTTATACTTATAGCCAGCCCACCCACTAATATATTCCCCTGAAGTGAATCTCCATGTTTTTGTAGTTTATAGAACTCACTCAGTTTCAGATTGGTCCTGAAATTTCATGCTATTATCATGGAAGACCTTTCTTGACACATGTGGGTCTTGCTTGTCACACTCGTCATTACCATGAGCTGTGAGTTTCATGCCTCCCCATAGCGCAATATAACACTATTGTCTTGAAAGACGGAAAGGTACCAATCAATCCTCAGTTTCAGATTATCAACAACAACAAAATCCTTATTGCATGCTGGTCACATTGTCACCCTAAGAGTTAAAAATAAGCTATTGTTGCAGCATTAGCCTAGGGTGGGAACCTGATCTGTTGTCTCTCTTGGACATCTGTTGCATAATGGTCTGGCAGGAAAAAAAATAATTATGTCAGTGAACCATAGATTGGAAAGTTAAATTTATGTGTCGGTGAAACTTGCCATTTCTCTACCTCATTATCCTAGTCTGTTGATCTTGTAACTGCTGATTCCTACATGAAACATTATATTGATTGCTTCTTTTGTGTGTTGCCAAGCATTTTTAGCTGAAATAATCTCTATGTTTTTGTTGTTGTTGCATGTGAATAACTTGTGAGATATTTTATCCTTATTAGCGTTTGTTATTCATCTCCTGTGTTCTTTGTAGTGTCCAGTGGTATCATTCATACAGGGCTAAGTAACACCTGGCAACATTGAGAAAAACTCACATATAACTTGAGGAATAAGAAGAATTGACTACCTGAACACATTGTAAAATCTGGTCACACAAGGGTAGTTGTTTAGTGTTGTATAGTAGTTTGTTTGGTTACTTGACAAGATGCTGGAGTGGGTTAAATCCACAACAGTGGTATAATGTCATCTAATTCCTGTGAATACAGCTGCTCTTCAGTGAATTAAAACTGGGCACATTTGTAGTGACAGCAGATGTCAGGCTTTGCTGACTGTGTTTGGAACACCATGACCCTTCAGTTGTTTCACCTCTATTGTAGAGATCATACACAGTGTATATATATGTGTATGCCTGTGTCTGTATATGTAGCTTGTATGTGTGTTGTGAAGGTTGTATGTATGTCTGTTGTGTTTATGTCTGTGTGCATTTTTAGGTTATATGTGTGCTGTGCTATGTGCCTGTGTACATCTGTGGTTTTTGTGTGTGGATAAATGTGTGTTATGATGTTTGTGTGTGTAAATATGTATATATTTTGTGCATGTGTGGGTGGGTTGACTTCTTGCTTGCTGCAGTTGTTGCTGCTGCTGCTGCAGTGGATCCTTGTCACATATGTAAGTCGTCTCTCACCAAGATGTAATCAGAACATCTCATTTGTGTCTGTCCTACTCAATGACAACTGACATTTTGCATGTTAACCAACAGAATGGCTGGAGCCCACTTCACTGTGCTGCATACTATGCCCAGCTGAGAGCTGTGGAAGTTCTTCTCAGAAACAAAGCGGACACCAGTATTGTAAACAAGGTATGTTTGTCCATGTTAACCGAGTATTTATGATGAAATATGTCTAGAGTTCTAGTCTTGCATTGAAACATTCATGGTGTCTAGTTTTCCCATTGAAGTTGATATGCTGATATTGACTTAGTTCCAAGTATGGGCTGTGTTCCTTGTTTTTTTTAAATTGAAGTTTGTTAATTTATCATCTAGTTTTCTTTGATGTGCAGTTTCAGTAGAATGTTTTTCCCTGTGTGGGTTCCGGGGCCCTATTATAGGGAAAACAAGAATAGATCCACTGCCTTCCCTAAAGCATGTCGTAAGAGTCGACTAATTAGGAGCTTCCTTTGAAGTCGGAGTGCATCTGCCTGAGAGGCAAGGAACCAGCAGTCTGCATACAAATGAGTCAGATCTGTAAAACACACGCAACACTCAACACTCAGGTTCTGGAACAGGACTGCATTCCAGAAGTGGATGAACAACCAGAACTTTCGATCAGAGTTTACAGCTGGTGAACGCAAAGAAGAAGAAGAAGAAGTAGAATGTTTATTGTATAGTGCACCAACTGAATCAGTTCCGTTTGTGTTTCTGAAAGTAAAGCTGCAATCATTTCTGCATCACAAGCTTTACTTACTACTACATGTGTGAAGATTATAGATTTACAATTTGATTTTTAGGGCTCTGAGGCTCTGTAGGGCTCTGATGCTCTGTAGGGCTCTGAGGCTCTGTAGGGCTAACAGTAGAGCTAGAATCAAATGATGGTAGACTATTGTTGGTCTCATGTTTACAGGATGGGAGATCTGCCTTAGTGGAGGCAGCCAGATCTAAAAACTATCAGGATGAAAGGATTCTGGGAGAAATTGCCAGACGTTTGATTGAGGCAGGCTCTGATGTGCATCTCAGGTGTGCAGACCTTGGAGAGGTGAGTTGTTCTTGCAAAAAAATGCTTACCTTGGATCTGCTCCAAAGTCGATGCCTGATTTCTGACCAATTTAATACCTCTTTGTTTTTTCCCCTATAAGATAGCATTGCTTTTGCTTAATTGAAATTTTTTTTTTTTTTTTTTTTCAACAATCTGTATATTTATGCACATACATCTTATACATATTTACTGGCCATGTATCTCCAGGGGCCCCATTGGTGGAAAAGGGGGGATTGGGGGGGGGGGGGGGGAGGAGCTACAGTTTTCAGCTAGCATGTTGCAAAGCCAACTGATTAAGGATTTGCTGAAATCAGATATGCTGAAGGGCAAAGATATCACAGACATGCTGAAAACCACAAAATAATATGCCATCTACTGTTTGAAGGGCCAGGGCAGAAGAAGACATTTACACTACAGAGACACACAAATGCCAACGTTCAGACACCCCAGTCCAAGTTGTTGTTCAAGGGTCAGGGCTTAAGTGTGTGTGTGTGTGTGTGTGTGGGGGGGGGGGGGGGGGGGGGGGGGGGGGGGGGGGGGGGGGGGGGGGGGGGGGGGGGGGGGGGGGGGGGGGGGGGGGGGGGGGGGGGGGGGGGGGTTTATGGGGGGGGGGGGAGTGGGGGGGGGGGGGGGGGGGGGGGGGGGGGGGGTAAAACACAAGAAAATTCTCTGCTGAAAAAAATGAAGAGATTTTTATTTAAACGTCACTCAGCATAGATACTCGCCTACTGGCCTGAAGGACTCTACTGACTGACTGACTGACTTCACACTCAGTTACTTCAGTACAGCTGTTTGCAAAATGTATTTTCAGGCGGATTTCACGGGATTGATGTTTGCTTCATACCACAACCACATTGAAGTTGGCAGAGCTTTCATAGAAGGCAGCTGTGACCTCAACTGTGCCAGCTGTTTTGTAAGCCATGTTGATGAAGCGAATGTTGTTATCAGATGCTGATAGTTGTCCCCACATCTTCCACAATCACATGTACACTATCAGTAGGACAGTCATGATCTAGAATGTAAATAAATTGCTGTTTTGTATTGGATCTTTTGCAGAATGTCTTCCTAGGTATGGCTAGCTAGAAAGCCACTTAGTTCCTTGCCAGTTCCCATGTATTTCTCATGTCCAAGGTGTCTCCAGTATGTTGTCTCCACTTCATGTCTACCCCTGTCTCTTCTTTCAAGCACCAGCCCTTCCATTTGTGATCTTTCTAGAGCACTGTGGCCTTTAATATGGTAGAAGTGTTCAGTTTACAACACATGATGCTGTTTATGAGTCAGTTTTTATGTTCTCATAACAATCACCTTGTCTTTCTAATGGGGTACAATTTGCCTGAGGGACTTAATGTCCAACCTACCTTTATCTAATATGTCTGAGTTATGGCCCCTGCCTTTCACAGCCATTTTGTCCGGTATTCATTTCCTGTATCTACACTTGTTTCAAAGCTTCAGCTAGCCAGCCAGACTTTTTAAGACTTTCTGAAAAATTTAAATTCAAAACCTCAGATTTTCTTCTTGAGTGATTGCAAAATGGTCTGGGATTCGTGTGTTACCACAAAAGATATATGTGTTCTCCGATAGTCACTTTTGTTTGGTGATGTTTTGCCACAGGCTTTTGATGCTGTTTAATCTCTGCAAGACCAATCTCTTTGTGAATTTTTTTGAACATCTTCACTGTTGTTTCAGTATGGAACTGAAATAATTTTATGACATTTTCAGTTTTTTCACCAGAGTTGAGTTGATTCAAGAACTGACATCCCAGGATTTGGGGCATTCCCATAAGCGCTCCGTCCCCATCTTCAGCAGCCATTGAAAAGTTCTGATACTAATGATGCCAGTAGCATTCTGATTAAATGTCCATCTTGCCTTTCCTCTGAGCCTCGAGCATCTGCCAGAACCTCTCGTCACTGCCTGCTGCATCAATCTCACCAGACTGTGGTGATCCATCTGCTCCTCCGAACTGTACATGCTCTCCCACAAGGCCCTAACCACGTCTGCCTGATCATGCATCAGTATTCCACCAAGTTGTGCAGAGCTAGCCAGTCTGTCCGCCTGTTCATTTCCCAACACACCGGCGTCTCCCGTCAAAATCCAGACAATATTCGTCACCTGTGTCCTCTGCAGTGAAGCATGCCACTCTGCACGAAGCATTGCCTGTTTTTTCACCATAGATTTATCAAACATTATCTTTAAAAAAAAAGGCAGTATTTATGGTTTTAGGTATGTTGTCTATAAATATTTACAACTGTTGTTTTGTGTTGTTATCCGGTGCTGTTTTTCACTACTGACATGTACAGATATGTTACTCATGTTTTTCAGACGTATACAGAATAAAACTGTGATATGTTTAGCCATTACCATAAATTGCTTGTTTTTATTGGGATCTTATTTATAATTTCAAAATTACTGACATGTGATCCACATTTGTATTTGAAAATTAGGCTCTCCTAGCAGATTTGGCCGGCAAGCTGGACGGCGTCGGTCGGCTTAGTGGGAGTTATGTCCCTTCGCCACACTCAAAACAAGTCGCGGAAAGAGTCACGAATCAAATGACATACTTACCTATCATCATACGGGTGCGTGTAGGGTTGCGTACGGTTGCGTCTAGGGTTACCTATCATCATACGGTTGCGCGTAGGGTGTCTTTCATCATCATACGGTTGCGTGTAGGGCTGCGTAGGGTGTCTATCATCGTCATACGGTTGCGTGTAGGGTTGTTTAGGGTTTGGGTTAGCGGTAGGGTTAGGGGTTTGGGTTAGGGGTAGGGTTAGGGCTAGGGTTAGGGGTTAGGGTTAGCGGTAGGGGTAGGGTTAGGGTTAGATGTGAAAAATTTCACGTAAGAGGTCGAAATACTGGCCGACAATCTGATGTTTGTGGGAGTGGCGCCACTGGAAGTGTGGCAAATATGACGACAATAGCGCGCGGCTGGTGCGCAATCGGTGGCGAATTGTCCGTGTCAGTAGCATCCACCATCCGTCGACTGTTTGCGCGTGCATGGGACTGTGCGCAATTATAGAGAACTACGGCGTCACAATTGTCACATCTAACGCTACACCTAACCCTACCCCTAACCCTAACTCTATCTCTAACCCTAACCGTAACCCTAACGCTACCCCTAACCCTAACCGTAACCCTAACGCTACCCCTAATCCTAACCCTAACCCTACCCCTAACCCAAACCCTAATCCTACCGCTAACCCTAACCCAACCCCTAACCACACAAATTTATCGGTCATTAAAGCTTACAGATCGGCAAAACACCCACAGACAGACACACAGAAAAAAAAAACCCCCAGATTTTCCCGCAGCGTCAAAAGACAAACCCAGATCTGGGGGACACAACCAAGCACTGGCAGCCCTGATGTCGACCTCACTGTCGTGTTTGAGTCGTGACTTTTTCCGCTCGTTGTTGTGAGTGCGGCCAAGGGACATAACTCCCACTAAGCCGACCGACGCCGTCCAGCTTGCCGGCCAAATCTGCTAGGAGAGCCGAAAATTACTTGTGAATAGTATTTGTAAATGAAATAACTTATCTGTGATCCATATTTGAATGTGATAATTATGAATGGCATTATTTGATAGTTCTGGAATCTGTGCTTGTTATTTGTAATTAAATACCAGGGGTCTCTATTTCGAAGTGGTTGAGCTGTTTGCCTGAAGGTCGTGAGTTTGCTTCATGGAGGCATCATTGAGTTCACAAGTGCAGTTCTTATGAAGGTCTATGAGAAATATCACTGGAGACATGGAGTTTGGGCTTTGTGTGAGGATCTTGATAGGCAGCCTGCCATTCCATTCTGCGAGAGATACCTAAACTCTGTGCAATGAAGTCGATCCTCCCAACTTTAACTTTGAAGAATTTTGTTATTAAAAAAATAATGTTGTGACTTGTAAGAAGAGATCTCTTGTGTGTTTTCTTCAGACCAGATGGACCGCTTTGCACTGGGCAGCTGACTGTGACAATGCACAGATGGTCACCCTGTTACTTGAGGCCGGAGCAGACCCTACCAGAACTGGAATGGTACTGACAATTTAACATTTCACCATATATTTAAAGAAACATACATACACACACATATATATATATATGTACATACTTACACACACACACACACACACGTGTATGTGATGATGTACATTCTAGCAGTGAGCTGTAATATTTACAGGGAAAACAAGGCAAAAGTTTTATTTATTGAGGTGTAAAGTATTCTGACAGTAAAATTACAAGTAAACATGGTGGGGAGAATCAGGTTGTTGGTGAAAGATAAAAACAAAGAAGAAAGTTCAGTAGACGTTATTCTCATGATCATCACCTTCGAGCATTAACTATATACAATTAACCTGTTTTATGTTGACTTTCAGAGGGGAGAGTTGCCTGTTCACAGAGCCAAGGGTGTTCAGACCAGAATGGTTTTGGAGAATGCTACCAGCTCTTGGCTTGAGACAAACAAGACAGCATTGACATCCTGGTCATCGTTACACTCTTGTTATGCTCAGGCATCTCTGGATGCTGCCAGAGCTTTAGAGGTACTGCTCATTTGATCTCTGGGTTTGTATTGGTGGCTACAAGAGCTGTAGAGATAGTGGCTCAAAGTTATGTATGTTTGTAAAAGCAACCATAGGAACTTTCAATTATACATATATATATACAGGTCCAGACAGTCTGGCTTCCATTCCTGCATATATATACTGGAACTGAAAAAGCATTTGAGAACTTGAAAGGAAAGATGTGGAACAACTGAAATAATAAATGAAACAAACTCATGCAGAAACATGTCCCCATTTCTGTGTTCAAAGCATAGCATGGTTAAACCAGAGTATTAGCAAGTCACTGTTACTATTTTGGACTACCTAGCTAACCTTTATGTATTGTATCAACTGTGGACAGGGTGAAGTCATCTCACAATGCAGCAGTAACCAAAGAGAAATGTTTCTGTATTCTGGTGATCCTTCGAAGTCGGAATACATCTGCCTCAGAGACAAGGAACCACAAGTGTGCATACAAATAAGCCAGATCTGTGAAACGGATGTGCACGCAACACTCAGGTTCTGGAGCAAGACTAACAGTTCTGTGGTTGACAAAGACCCTGAACCTTACCCCAGAGTTTACAGCCGGTGCTAGTCAAGAAGAAGAAGATTGCAATTATCCGTGAACTCGTGTCTTGTAGTCAGCTTGCTATTTGTTTAATTTGTCATTGTTATTTCACATTAGTTGTCTTTTTCCCCGTCCTTCTGTTTTCATTTTCCAGCTTCTCTTTCTATCTTTATTCGTTCCTGCTTTTCTCATTTGCTTTTACTCTTTCTACCACTTCTTATTCTTTTGTTTGTACTCTTGCCAGATTTCTGACACTCTGTTCTTGGGTTCCTCATGTATTGCATATTTCCAGGAGACATCTGCTGGATGTTTCAGTGGCCATGCTTAACCAGCATAATTGCTGTGATGATTTGTAATCCATTTATTGGTTGTTTTACTTGTATACTTTATGATATCTTGTTATTGATTGATGTCTAAAGTTTACTGTTTTGTTTGTAATCATTACTATTGAGTCACTTGTTTCTCGGTTTCCTCAGAGCCTGACTTGTCATGCTAAAAACAGAGATGTCCTGTCTGCTGCCATGCCAACAATGCCAGCTCTGTGCATCTCCTCCAGGTCAGATCCCAAACTCCGCTACACAAAACGCAGTGTCAGTGAAGTTGCTGTGAAGAATGTCAGTGGAGTGTCTCCCTGGAAGAGCTATTCCAAGCAGGAATCACTTTCTCTAGAGAACAAAGGCATGAGGAGATTCACAGAGAAGAAGCAAGAGAGCGGGAAAATGTTTCCTTCACAGGATGATAAGACTAATGCTTTCATGAACACTCTAGCAGAGAGAATCAGTTATATGACCAGCAAGATTGCAGCCATGAGCCATGCTGGGCTACTGAATGCCACAAACAAACCTAGTTCACATGCTGTCTCTGTTAGTAAAAGTGTTTCCAGCACAGGTGGCATGTCTGTAGATTCTGGGTTGTCCACTACTGAGAGAAGTGGAGCTACATCACAATCAAGTACTCCAGATGATGGAAGCACAGTCTTACTGGACAACCTGAAGCAGTCCCCATCTAAGTATGTCACTGCCAGGTATGCCACAGGGTCGACACTGAGAATGGATGGTTCATCAGATCTTGATGGTTTGGATGAACAAGTTGATGCTTGTATCATTGAAGCTAATCATCGGGGCTTCTCCATCCTCCATGCCCTACAGGAGAGACACAGACAAAGTGTATACATGGGAGAATCAGCACTTGGTGGAAGCATCATTGCACATAACACTGAGATTATGTCTGAGGTGTAACCCATATTTGCTAAACACATTTGCTTGTATGTTGTCACACATCAGAAACACAGCAATTATTTTCTTCATCTTTTCCAGTCAGTGCTTGTTAAATCCCTGGTAATGGCTTCAGAATAACTATTTCTTCTTCGCTTCTTTTGTCAGTATCTGCACAGTATTGCTGGGCTTGGCAGCTAAATTGTTAATAGCTCGCTGGGCCAGGGTGCATTCGCTTGATGGGTCTACTGTGAGGTCTCCAGCAGCTATCTGATCCTTCAAACCATCTTCTAGGTGTCCCTCTGCCTCCTTGGGTTTGCATGTCCAGGTTGTATTCTCTCACTGCTGGAATCGTTGGGTTTGTTCTCACAAGAAAGCTGAACTATTTCATTGTTTACTGAATATCATTGGTTCTGCTGGTTGGTTCACGTAGCACATGTCACGTAAAACACCTCATTTACATGGAGTTACATATCGCCCAGAGGTAGGACACAGGCAGATATCATCAGTGCGACACTGGAATAATTAGCCTGTATATATGTGATATCTATTAATGGTGACTGAGTACTTTGGATTTGTGAGCCTAATGAGGCTAACAAATAATAAATCTGAGTATGTTCAGACAGAATCATATCAGCTCAGCAGCATTTTGGACACATATCAGCTCAGCAGCATTTTGGACACATATCAGCTCAGCAGCATTTTTGACACATATCAGCTCAGCAGCATTTTGGACACATATCAGTGTCACATATGACTGTAGGAAGCTGTATTATACATGTACAGAATTCAACCCAAGAAAAGACGTTAGAAGGGAAACAGAAATTAGAGGACATGCTGGACTGCACACATACATTTCAGTTACAGATTTGAAGTTGTTGTTGCATGTGACCCCAGAAACTAAATACAGAATGAAGCTTGAAAGGCTCACGATGAAGCCTAGTTGACACGATATAAACTTGATGAAGCCTAGTTGACACAGATATAAACTTGATGAATTGATGAAGCCTAGTTGACACAGATATAAACTTGATGAAGCCTAGTTGACACAGATATAAACTTGATGAATTGATGAAGCCTAGTTGACACAGATATAAACTTGATGAAGCCTAGTTGACACAGATATAAACGATGAATTGATGAAGCCTAGTTGACACAGTAATAAACTTGATGAACTGATGAAGCCTAGTTGACACAAATATAAACTTGATGAATTGATGAAGCCTAGTTGACACAAATATAAACTTGATGAATTGATGAAGCCTAGTTGACACAAATATAAACTTGATGGATTGATGAAGCCTAGTTGACACAGTTATAAACTTGATAAAACCTAGTTGACACAGTTATAGAAATGATGAAGCCTAGCTGACACAGTTATAAACTTGATGAAGCCTAGTCAGATTTCTGTTGCCGAAGTATAACCGGTAATATACTTATTACTGATGGATCCAAGTTGTTAGTATACACTCTCCTGTGTTGCGTAACTGATGGACAAGCATTGAGCAGCTTGCATAAACATCAGATCTTAGTCACACCAGCTCAATTACTCAGTTTATTTGAGTATTCTTATGCTAACTCTATCAAATCCATGAAGAAAATTTGCTGTTTTTGGTGACTTATGTTAAAATGTTACGGGTTTTTCTGCAGAAACAATTTAATTATTTAAATGTAAATCTTAAATGCTTGTAAAAATTATGAACTTTTTCTTTCGCATCAAACCCGTCCCATATTTATGTTTTCATTTACAAACTGTCATTCATCCTTATAAGTTGACTATTGTGATAAAATTATAGTATAGTAAAGTCTCATAAGTTGTTTCTGTTTTTGATAGACACACTTTTGTTTCAGTCTGTGATATGGGTGCTTACTGTTTTATTGTTAATGATTATATTGTAAAACTGAGTAGTGCCTGAGGTCAACATGTGTTGACACTGAAGGTTTCTTGGCTAGTAAAGCACAATCTGGCAAGCTGAATATAAGCAGTACATTTCAGGCCATGATGCTAGCTCATCTGGTCAGGAGATGGGCCATACATATAGATCCTTAGTGGCTTGCAAACACAAAATACCAGGAATAAAAACCCCATACAGTTTTGCTGAAAAAGCAATAAATCAACCATATTACCCATCTGACTTAAGTACAGATCTGAGACTACGTCAAGAAACCCAGTTTTCTGTCAGTTGTTAATCCTTTACAGGGTGTTGCACAACCAGCCCCCACATTTTTTGGCTGTTGTGGTTTTTTTAAAGGCAAGTTTTTGTCCAGTAGTTTGCCATTGCTTTCTCGATGGACAGCTTTTCGATACTACTGTGGAAACCAGTGCAAGGCCCGCAGCTGGGATGGAACCCGGTATCCTGGCATTATGAAGCGTGTTTGCAACACCTAAGCCGCAGAGGCTGACAGACTATATAATGAGTGATCTCCCAGTACTGCTGTTGTAGTGTTGAGCTGTGCATTGTGTTTGAGTACAATTATCTCTGTTATTTCATTATATAGTGACATGCTTTCATTTTCTTTTTAAATTATTATTATATGTGCTTTATACACGCATGTTGGTTTCATTGTGACAGTTATTCTAGTCTTGGACATACACCAGCGTTGTTGTTTATTGTCACTATTGTAGAGGCTGCAGTCTCATTCATTCTCTCCAAGCCGAACATTAAGCAAGACTTTTTTGTTCATATCGGCAGTATTTTGGGGACCTCTGTGTCATTTGTTTGCTGGTGTTATTTTGTATGTTTCAACTGCTGCACACAGTCAGACTTCCACTCCAATGTCTATATAAAATGATCTGCCTGATCCTTCGCCTGTAAAACATTTGTAAACCTGCTAGTCGGATCCATAAACATGGATTAAAAGCTGATGCAGGAAATGAGCTACCCCTCTAAGTACGACCAAACTAAAATGAGTTACACATCTAAGTATGACCAAACCACCGTATAAACACCCAATGTGTTTCACTGAGCTTTTCTCCAGATCATGTAATCGTATTAGTGTCAGTGATATGTCATTACCGGCCAGCCTAGCCCGTACAAGCGGGATTGTTTCAGCAAATGACTTTGACTGCCAGGTTGGCCCAGCCTCGGAAGTAAGGGTGGCCTGTGTGATGATGACCACATCCATACAGCTTTGATGATATCTGATCTATGTTTCTGCCTCCTGCATGCAGTTATACAGTAGTTGCCTGTGGTCATCTTATTCATTCATCTTTTTAA